GTAATCTGATTACTAAGGTAATTTGTTTTTAGTTGACACAGAAAACTGTGCTGCAGGGATGTGACATCACTTCCTGTTTCCTGCAGGTCACCTGACCCTCTCTCTGGACAAAGACTCGTTTGAGATTTTGGGCTTCGAAGGGAAACCGTCCAGATTCAAGCACAGAGCTGCCACCAGATTCGGTCTGTCCACTTGTAATCTCATTACTCTGAAACGATGTTGTAATCTGATTACATTACATATTATTGATCAGCATATAATTCCATTACTGCTCACCTGTAATCTGATTACTCTGTCTGCTGCAGTGGTATCTGTGGATCTAACTGACAGCAGCATGGCTCCTGGTAGGCGGAGCTACCTGAGGCTCCTCACAGGTCTTAAGTCCCGCCTTCAGCTGCAGACCGACTTCCTGTTATCGCATCATCCAGGTGAGTGACCTCATCACCAAGGTTAGCCTGCCGTGTGTTTCCCACAATGCTCTGCTCACAGTTCTGTTCTTCAGGGGGCGGGGCCTCTCTTCAGCCCCTCCTGTCTCGATGTGATTGGTCGCAGCACAGACCGGAGGTCAACTGCAGCGTTTTGATGGACCTCTCCTGCCCCGCCCCCCGGTCATGTGACCCTCACAGTTTCCTGGAGTGGCTCGGAGCCGTTGACGCTGGCATCAGCTGGTGAGACCTCCTGATGGGCTATGACATCATCGCTGCGGTGTCACGTTTTCAATGTTGACAGTTCTTCTTCTGTGGTTTCAGCGAGAACTCGTCCAGCAGCTTCCTGTCGTCGTTTGTCTGTCCCGAACCGAGCACGATACATCGCCACGCTCTGAGCGTGTCCGTGAGCGGGATGCTGCTGCCGCACGACATCCACCGTCTGCTGCAGGAGCTCAGGTGATCACCTGTCACACTCTGTGACCTCTGCCCTCTGTCAGACTGTGACCTCTGACCTCTGTCGCACTGTTCTGACTCACCTGTGCTCACCTGTCCCACAGGCGTTACGTGGAGCAGCCTCGGCTGGCGTCCTGGGTGTCCATGACGGTTCGCGGGTTTGCTGACAGCCCGGTGTCCTGGAGCAACCACGAGCACGGCTTCCTGAGGGGCGGAGAGAACTTCTACACGCTGACGATGTTCCACGACCACACCTACCAGCTCCACCTCGCCACGGGAGCACATGACGTCTGCCCGCCCTGACGCACTTGCGTACCTGTGCGCGGGCAGAATCTCCTCTACTCTGATTGGTTTCGTTGTAGAAACGTTTTGGTTAAATAAGCTGAGCTGAGGCCACGCCCACTCGGAGACCCTGAGAAACGTGTCGATAAAATGTGCTTGAATAAAGTCAGTCTGATGTCATCGCGTCTGGGCTTTTCTGATTGGTCTTTGGCGACAGGTTATTGACGACTTCCTGTGTAGCTGACAGCGCATCACAACTGAACAATGCACCACAAAAGTAAGAAAGAAGCTCGCCATGACAACGGCTGTGTAGCAGGAACCGCGAGAGACTCGGACAATATTCAGAGGATGACGAGGGAATGGGAAACCGCCGGGAACGCCGCTTACCCTCAGAGTAATGAGAGGCAAGCGCGACTGAACATGAAACATACGAGACTGACTGAGAATAAAACGGGGACGGATGCGGGAACGTGGCCGAGGAAACACGGAGACGGATGGCGAGGACAGAGTAGGAGCTCCAGATAACAGTCACTATACAAAACTAGCGCAGAATCAACATGAGGATGTTTTCAGGTCAAAAGAAGGAATCAGCCAAACTTGAAGCACCGGCTGTGCTCACGAGCAGCGTCGCTCCTCCATTCTGCTCATGGCAAAACAAAGTCACATGATCATCAAACTCTTAAATGTGACCCTCGTTACACCGGCACAGTGTCGACTGCCAGCGAGTCTCCGTCCTGCTGTGCGTGATATTCAGAGCGCACCTGAAGGAACGTTGATCCTTTCAGACCCCGTTCCTACGAATCACACGTCTCGTTCATCCTTCAGGCAGCTGATCTTTATTAGCCATGCAGAGCTGGTCAAAGTACAGACACTGTGTACTTTAGTAGAAGTACAAATACTGCTGTTAAAAATTACTCCAATAAAAGTACAGATTCAACTTCTTTACTCAAGTATAAAAGTACTGGCTCTGAAATGTACTCAGAGTAACAAAGTAGTTCTTTGTAGGTTTCTGTGCAAAGCTACTGAACCCTGTGCTACAGCAACACAATGACAAACTTCAGTCTGTGTTTATTCTGTGATTGTTGGAGCTGATGGAGCAACACCAACAGTGTTTGCAGTTGCACATGTTTTTATTTGCACTGTTTCACTGCTTGTCGCACACGCACCGGCTAGCTCAGGTCCTAGCACAGCTTTTATCAGGGAGCCATGACCAGGTGACAGAGCTCAGGTGTGTCAGCCT